CCCCACCCATGAGGAATCTGGATTGCTGCCATGTGAATATGCTGTTCAGGGTCACCCACTGTGGCAGATTCCTGCAGCGAACAATGAGTGTGCCTGAGTTCTGGTCACATATGTGTGGTTTTCCTTATTTAGATCTGTTATAGCAAGAGGTGGCAGAAGGCAGTTCTACTGGTGGGCTGTTGGTTGATTATTGATGGACAATTGGTTGATTACTAGAATTATTGCAAAGATTATTGGATTAGGTGGCTGTTGGTCTAATCCAGCAGAGCATTTATTATAAAGCAAGAGTAAATACTTGGGATTGCTTAGTACAGATAAGCACTGATTGTTAACAGACTCTTGAATTAGAAGCTTGCTTGTAAATTAGAAACAAATAGGCAAGGAGGCTTAACCTTTTTAAAAAATGAAAAACTGGTGAGCCTGCCCCTTCTCTCTCCCCCCCCCCCGCCTCTTATCTGAAACTGGCTCCTGCCTGTTCTGTGCGGGATTAGAAGTCACTTGGTGGCATGTGATCTATGTAGTAAGTCTGAGCAGTTCTTCTTTCTGGGAACACCTTGGGTTGGGGTCAGAAGCCAGCACTGTGAGTTTGCCATGTAAGGCTTGTACAACAAGGTTTCTAATTAGCCATCTCTTCTGGTTCAGTTCCCATTCCCTGCCCCATTGCTCATTACTAGATCTTGGGTTTGTGATGGGAGCACCGAAGAAAGGAAGAGACAATCCAGCTTTTAATGATTTAGGCTCAGGTCTTCTCTCTTGTAAAGCAGACTAAGGGATCTTTTGGCATTCTTGGGGTGAGTGAATGCGACTGACCGAGTGGTAGCTGGAGTATCTGAAACCACTCCCCAGTGGATGCAAGGGTGCTTTGATACTGGGGGGGGGGAATCCTACCCCTATCCTACCACTCCACTGAGCAGAGTTGGAGGAAGAGAAGGCACAAGTTACAGGAATGCTTCAAACTAGTTGAGTGGTATAGTTTCTGCTTTCCCTAGCTTGTTGGATGCTGTACATTAAACTAAAATGCTAGACAAGCTGGGCCACTACAGTCGCACTGCATTTTCACAGTGTTCTTACCTGAACATAGTACCAGGACAAGGACAAGGCACTGGCCTTGAGCACTGTATGCATGGGGGGTGTTGTATGGTCCTCCCAGAACATTTTCCTCCAGGATAAATGCAAAAGAGCTTTCTTATGGGCCGACAGCAGCTGCAAGTTGAGGGTCACTGAAGAAATCCGATTCCCTTTACCGAAGTCAGTATGTTGTCATCTGCAGTGTTTCCCGGATGTACAGAAAAGGAGCTCATAGTGACAGCAGATTCTGATGCCAAATGCAGGATTAGGCAAAATTATGAAATCTGTAGCTTCTGATGGTGACCCATTCTGTAACACTGGTACAAGATGGGTTTATACTCTGCTTGTGAGAAAAATCCTTTCCAGATCCTGGGAGGCTGGCAATCACATGTATTGGAAGAACACTGCCTCTAACAGGCATGGTTGCCATGTTGTCTGAACAGGGGCACTGCATGTATTTTGTATGGGTGCAGAACTTTGGTGTGTTTGAGTTAGAACACAGGAAAATCTGGTGGTCGATTTGCATGTAGTGAAGGTGCTCAGGTATGCAAAATATGCACAGTGCCCCAGAACATGGTGGCCACTCATATTGGGAACAATGCGTGATGACTGGCCTTTCAGTACGTGCAGGCATAATGTTAAGAAGGGGCTAAAGTCAGCTATATTGGAAAATCTAGAAGCTGCTACAGAGAAAAAGTAGCTTAAGTTGATGTAGAATACACCTCAGTAAAATTCCTAATGCTGAAAGTTCATCCTCACCTAGTAAAGTAGCATTCCTAAAGCACTCTGCCCCTTTCATCTTCTAGGCACAGTCTGTAGTTAATACATGCCTTCTTTACAACCTCCTTTAGAAGCGACTTGCCGCTTTTTAGGGAAACCTTCCATTCACACCAGACACCATCACTTTCGACACCTTCCCTTTAGATTCCACCCTTCCTTCAAGGGGCTCAGGGAGGCATGTTTTTCCATCCTCATCTTATCCTTACAACACTCTGTGAGATAGCTGGAGCTGAGTGAATGTGACCAGGGCATAGGTTACTCAGCAAGGTTCATGGCAGAGTAAGGATTTGAACCCATGCGTCTGAGATCATAGTCAGACACTTTAATCTCTACACCACAGTGGCTGTCTCACAAGCTGGTATGAATAAAGCATGAAAATGGCTATTGAACACTGTTAAATGGCTAATCACAAACTAGGGACCAGTTGACAACAGTGTCTTGACTCAAGTGCCCTGTTGTGAGCCCTTGTCTTATCTGGGAGGCATAAGGTAATTGAATTTTTTTGTGTGTATGTTGTGTAGAATTTTTAGTGTGCAGTGCTTTACTGGCTTGTTCGGCTTCAGAATCATCCTGTGTTAGCTCATGAAAATTTGCCAGAGTGGTTTGTTTGGGGCTGTTATTGGGTTCCAGTTCACATTAACGCATGGAGGTAACTGGGTGGCATTTTAGCAAGCCACTCTGTTGGCCAAATCTACTTCACAAACCAGGGATTATGGCAAAATGGGATAGCATTGTTAACCCCTCCTTGAGTTTGTTGGAGGGAAAGGTGGGATAGCAATATGACACATTTGGGCCACGATCATACACACAATTAGGCCCGACATAGGTGTGAAGGCTGGGTGGATTTAAAGGGCGCGGTCAGACAACAACATCTGGGAAGCTCCCCGCAGCCATCAGCAACCCATTCTGGTCTGCTGCAGAAGCGGAGTTAAAAGGCACTGGGGGAAATCCAAAATGGGTTATGACAGGCCATGGATGGACTTTCCCCTGTCTGATCACTCCAGTGTGCTCTCATACCATCAGGATGGTCTGATCAGGCCATCCCGACTCGGTGCTGTTGGGAGCCCTTGGTGCGGAGGTGCAGTTCATCGATTCCTCATTTAAGCATATGGGAAACAAATGGCACCAAAAAAAAAGACTAATGCACAGTTGTGTCTGATCACATCACATGGGAAACAAATGGCACCAAAAAAAAAAAGACTAACGCACAGTTGTGTCTGATCACACACTGACGGACTGTGCCCGCAGCTTCAAAGGGAGGTGTGGTCATGCAACTGCGGGTCTGTTTCCTCCGAAGGAAATAGCCTCATTCCCCCACCCACACACACATCGTTTTATCTGGCACGTGTGACCACACCCTTGGTGTTGTAAGTCCCTGGCTTTATTAGCAGGTGGGGCCTGAAGTTCTTGCAGAATTACAGCTGGTCTCCAAGCTGCAGAGATCTGTTCCCCTGGAGAAAATGGCAGCCTCAGAGGGTGGACTCTATAACATCACATCCCTGCTGATCAATCTTCCCTCCCCAAACTCTACGTTTTCCAAGTCCTGCCTTCAAATCTCCAAGAATATTCCAGGTGGAGTTGGCAGCTCTATCCAAATGTGAAACCCAGGTTTTGATTTCCCTGGTCCTCCTGTCTCCTAGAATTCTCGAATGTGTTCTCCTCACTCGGTGATGCAGCAAAACAGCTCTGATGGAACAGTCTACTGCAAGCAAACACAGTCTAAACTCCCTATGCTGGGTGGTGTTAGTGGTACCCCCAGACGAGTTTCCCAATGAAATGTTTGCGAAGTAATCAGAATTCAGGGAGAGAATCAGGGACTGGTGGCTGACTCTGCCTCCTGCTGATTATTTCCTACAACCTGTTGTCCTGGTCTCTCTCCTTCCCTAGCCAGCCTTATTTTTATCACTGAGCCACAGAGGCCAAAAATGGGCTGGGAGGAGACTGCAGAGAGAGTCAGCAGTGGCCTGAGGGACTAGCATGCCTGCTGGCTGACTAGAGCTGTCCAAGCAAATATACCCCCTACTTTTATTACAAGGTAAACACTATCACTGGAAATGCTTTGCTTTCCTAAACATGCAGCTCCACCTTGCAGTTTTCTTTCTGCTCCCCTGTTGCTTATGTCCTCCAAACCATTGGTTACAGTGTTGGACTGGGGAGATGTGGGTTGTAATCCCTATTCAGTACTAGTAGTCGAGGGCATCCAATGAAGCTGATGGGCAGTAGGTTCAGGACAGCCAAAAGGAGATTCTTCTTTACACAGAGAGTGATTAAAATGTGGAATTCACTGCCAGAGGATGAAGTGATGGCCACAGGAATAAACAGTTTTAAAAGGGGATTAGATAGATTCATGGAGGATAAGTCTATCGATGGTGACTAGCCATGCAGACTGAGGGGAACCTCCACATTCAGAGGCACTAGGCCTCTGAATCCCAGGGCCAGGAGACAAAATCAGGGGAAGGCCTCAGCCTGTTGTTGTTGGCCATCCAGAAGAACTGGTTGGCCACTGTGTGAGACAGGATGCTGGATTAGATGGACCACTGGTCTGATCCAGCAGGGCTCTTCTTATGTTCTTATTCAGCTGTGAAGCTCATGGAGTGGCACTGGGCCAGTTGCACACACACACTAATTTATTTCTCAGGGTTGTTTTGTAGGTAAAACAGTACCTACAGAACAACCCTGAGAAAGAAAAGCTACCTGGAGCTACCTTGCCTCTCTGATGCTATCATGCATGTGATTTTGGGGGTGAGGTGTTACCTTAGCAAACAATACAGAATAGACAAGAACGTCTTGTGTGAGAAGAAATGAAACACAAACCCCCGCCCAAACCACAGAGAAAATAGTTTATTTCTCTTAGTGAAGTTTGTTCGGTGCTTTTTTCTTCCTCCCTTGTTCATTTTGGCCTCACTGGCTGCACTCTTCACAAAATGAAGGCTGGCTGCTGAAGAAGGGCAGAGGGAGCTCAATCCTGCTGGCCAGTGCACACAGTCCCCTCCCCTGCTGCCTACCAACCAGAGGACACTGAAGACATGCAACGTTAATCCTCTCTCTCAACATATGCACTGTTGATAGCCAGATTTAATTGCCACAAGTGCAGTTGCCTTGGGTCCATGTTTTAGTCTGGGTACATGATTGCTATTTTCCTTCCTTTTCAGGACTGTCAAATATTCCTCAGGTACTTAAAATGGAAATTTCCTTCGATCCTGGTAACCCCACAACATACGAAAAGTACGTCAAGCTCATGGAGAACTTCCTGAAGCGTTATGACTCGGAAAATCAGAAAGACACAGATACAGATTTTGATTCTTGTCCAGGTGAGTAAATCCAGCTTTATTTGTATATAGTGCCTGCAAATTAATGTTAGTCTTGGCCCAATCCCCAGTTTAGGCCTGATGATCCTTTCCTGGCTCCCTAGAAAGGAGAAGAACATCTCTCTCACACACATTGACATCAGCATGGGCACACTCCTTGCTTCAGTCATTGCTTATCTCTTGAAGCCAGCATGGAGGTGGCTTTAAACATGTTTAGTGAGGGTCGTCTTCACTTGAACTCCACTTTCCCCCTCTTAGAATAACTGACTGTCACAATCTTGTGTTACCTCTTCAAAACAGAAGGGGGAAAAGTTTTTTTCAGATTCTACCAGGGCAACCCCCACCCCCGTCCTGTACAGGTCAAGTAGCTTGTCCAGCTGTATCCTGTTCCTAAATTGGGGGAAAGTCTTACTGTCCTTCAGTCCCACTGCAATGCCTTACTGTAGCTATCAAGGACAAAGAGCTCTCTGATATAGTTCCCCAAATGCCCTTTGGGATGAAGTCTTGCCAGAGGAATCCTCAGGAAGTAACTTGTGCCAGCTCAGGGAGGACAGCCTCACCCATTGAAAATGGTGCACACAGAACAAACCCCTTTCTGGTTTTAAATCTAGACGGTAGGTTCGGGGGGGGGGGCGCCGCGGTATTTGGGGATGCTAACTTTGCCTCTTTTGCGTTATCTTAATTTGATCCTGCTGTTGAACAAGTAGGACAGCACCTGTAGTGAATGCCTGGCAGAAGCTGTTTGTAGGGCAATCACAAGGAAGAATGGCAGTAGGACAGAGCTTATCTTCTCTTATAGCAGCATCTTAGGACAAGCTACGTGTGTGGGTGTCCTCTTTAAAGGTGCCCTGTGCTGTGTAAAATACAATAGTGTAAGAGGGATAGATGACCAGCCAACAGTACTTGTGACCTGAGGGTGGCCTCTATGGTATTACACCCTGCTGAGATGCCTCCTGAGATGACCAAACTGTGTATAAGTGATTCCTTCCACCCCTCTTTTCTCTCACCCCTACTCTTCCCCACCCATACAGTTGTCCCAAGTGGATATATAGAAAGAGGTAAATATGATGAGAGTGCGGGCACAAAGAAATCATGCCGATTCCACCGTACCTGGTTGGAGAACTGCTCTGGATTAAATGATACTACTTTTGGTTACAAAGATGGCAAGCCATGCATCATCATCAAGTTCAACAGAGTCCTGGGATTCAAACCCAAGGTAAATGCTGCTTTTCATTGCTACCTGTGCAGTTGGGATGAGGCAAAGATGGGGATAGGTAGGATGGCCCTGTATGAAGGAGAGGGTGCTGGGACACTTTGATTTTCTCAGCTTGAAAAAGTTGTTGAACTAGTTCTTGTGTTACCATTATATAAGCACTAGAAGCGTGATGGCTGCATCATGGTCGTACTAAAGTAGGGGGAATAGTGATGAATAGACAACCATCGTACTAAAGAGCAGGTGAGCCCATTTACAAGCAGTTTGCATCTCTAGATATTCTTGGGTCTCAGATGCCACAATACATGGGCTCATATGACACACGCTTGACACTGGAGATCGACTCTCACAGCTCCAAAAGCCCACCTCCCCCCAAGCCTCAGAGGGCTATCCTTGCTACAAGAGGGTATCAGTTCATTGTGCAAGGAAGGGGGTCCCTTTGAAGGGTTTGCTTCCACCTTCCTCGCCTGATACCCTCCAGCATAGAGAACCTCCATCTCCATGAGACCAGAAGAGCTATCAGCATGGGAGTGGGACAGTTCTAGTAGATCCCTGAAAGTCTTCTTCACATATCTCTGTCTCTCTCAGCTTCTCCAGATTGGCAAACTTGTTCCCTGAGAGCAAAAAGCTCTGTGCACTGAGTACACACCCACAATTTCTGTCCTATGGGCAGATAACTGTATATGAAGGGGCTGTGGCTCAGTGGTAGAGCATCTGCTTTGTGTGAACACATGAAGCTGCCTTATACTGAATCAGACCCTTGATCCCTCCAAGTCAGTACTGACTGGCAGCAACTCTCCAGGGTCTTAGGTCTTTCACATCACCTACTACTTGATCTTTTTTAAAAATGGAAATTCTGGGGATTGAGTTTGGGACCTTCTGCATGCCAAGCAGATAGCTCTACCACAGAGCCATGACATGCAGAAAGTCCCAGGTTTAATCCCCAGTCTCTCCATTTTAAAACAGGATCAGGTAGTAGGTGATGTGAAAATCCTCCTCCCGAGACCCTGGAGAGTCACTGCCAGTCCAGGTAGACTGTGCTAACATTGACAAGCCAGTGGTCTGACTCAGTAGAAGTGTGTTCCATGTGTTTAAGTGACAGCCATAGTTTGCTTGATTGGGGGAGAGATGGGAGAAGGGCCACTGGTGCTGGAGAGCTGAGAATGGTGTTTCACCTTAATTAAATGCTGGTGCATAAGGCAAGATACCAAGACACTGCCTGCTTCATTCAATTAAAACTATGTGAGACTTGCCTGTCTGCTTAGACTCATGTAAGTCAGTGTAAAGGCTAGAAGAGAGATGGCTGGTTTTGGCTTCCATGCCTGTTTGCCTGGAGGAAAGTGTGGTTTGCCACCAGACAGTTGACTATTTATACACCTAACTTCATAAAATTAAATGAGATTATCTAACCTTGGCTCTTCCTAGTTTCTGACACCTGGGAATGGTATTAATGAGTGAAAATAATTTTTCAGAAAATCATGTTGCATAAAATATGATTACTAGTCTCTCCAATGCCATTCTCCCATCCCCATCCACTCATGTCTGCCATACGACTAAGCACAGTTTGAATAGTTTAAAGAAAAACATGGGTTGGTTTAAAATGTTTTGGGGAATAGATTTGGGAGCGTACTTCTCTTAAATGGTGATGATCTACTGGGGAGGATTTTCAAGTGTTTTCAATAAATTGTCATGTGCCTCTTTTCCTCTTAGCCACTACAAAATGGTTCCGAATCCCTCCCAGAGGAGTTGAAAGGACGAACCAATCCTTTTCTCATTCCTCTCCACTGTGCTGCTAAGGTAAAGTAGTACAAGCTTTTGGAGAGGGAAAGCAGTCTTGGGCTGTGTTCACCAGAGATGAATGCCTTTTATTTCTTACCTTTATACTGAAAGGGCCTGTACAAAGTTACCTGACAACTGGGAATCTACTTAAGGATTTAGGGTTCCCTTCCCTCCTTCCTCAGCACCTCATTATGGAACAAGTGCAGCAAGAGCACCTGCATTTGAAAGCAAGTTCTATTCTGCCTGGTCTGGAAGATGTTGCATTCAAACTGGATATCCCGGTGCACTTGATGCCTTCAATCTGTGTTTTGGAAAAATGAACCAACGGAATTAGGCAAATGTCAGCCCATTTGAAAGCAGTGGGCTTAAAGTGTTCCTCATACTCTTGTAGTAAACATTCACCATTATAGAAAATCCTGCCTGAGTCTTCCAGAACTGAGTAGAAGAGTGCCCCAAAGCAGTACTTGGTAGGTTGCTCTCCTATGTGTTAAAATAAGCAGGAGTCTTGTGGCTTCTTAAAAACGAACAATTTTATTTCAGGATAAGATTTTTGTGGTCTGTAGCCCACTGAAGAATCTTTGAAACTTTGTATCTGAAGCAGTGGGATCTAGTCCACAAATGTTTATGCTGGAATATAATATTGTCTTCTGTTCCAGCAAAACAATATCGCCCTGTGGAGGGCAACACAGCTGTTGTCTTTTTTTCTAAAAGTAGAGTCTCAAACAACACCCAAGAGAGAGAATCCAGTTGCTTATTTTTCTGTTGGAGATGGAAAGATAATACCAAAAATGGTGACAACTCCTGTCATGCATCACTGTCTTTCCCTGGAGGTTAAATCAGGAAAATTTCCATGGATTAAGAATATTAGCCCAAGCATGTCCATCTCAGAGTGTACAAAATAATGGCAGGCAGTGGAAATGGCATACTGGCTCCATATTGAAGCTACCTCCTGATTAGAAGGCAACGACAATGTTAACCAGGCTTTTGCTGAAAAGGTATACAAGGTTTAACATTGTGACTCCACTTTCTTACTTTTGTGTGTGTACTAGCAGTCAGTGACATTTAAAAGGAATACAGTGCTGAACATAAAAGGAGGTCCACTGGTTGAAACCAAAGGTCCATCTACTCCAGATTCTGTTTCCAGCAGTGGCAGGGCAAATGCTTTGGGGCAGTTTATGAACAAGGCACAAACAGTCTTCTATTGTTTGTCCTGAATTCAGAGGGATAGTGCCTCTGGACACTTGTTTATACCCATTTCCCAAAATATGGTGCCCAAGGTGGCTCACAATAGAACTCAAAACAGCCATTTCATAACATCTACAAAATACGAAGAATTATCACTAATAACAAGGATCATACGAGTCATAAATGAGTTGAAATCAGTCAGGTTTAAGAAAATAGTTCTAGCTTGGGACCTTCAAAAAATGTTCCACAGCTTGTTTTTTTTAACTGAAAAAGCTCTGCTAGCAGAGACTGAGGCTCCATGGTAGAGCCTCTGTTTTGCATGCAGAAGGTCCCAGGCTCAATCCCTGGCATCTCCACTTAAAAGGGTTCAGGTGATAGGTGATGCAAAAAACCTCTACCCTGGAGAGCCACTGCCAGTCTGAGTAGACAATACTGACCTTGATGGAACTGATTCAGTATAAGGCAGCTTCATATATTCAGTTATCACCCAACTGGGTTCTATCGAGCTGTCCTAGTAGATAGGCACTGATAGTTCTATCCTAAGTTAATTTGTCTAGACATTTTTAAAAAACCTTTTAATCCAGCAGATATTACCACATTGTGTGGCATGTAACAAGTGGATCCACAAGGCAAGTGAAATCTATGGAGATAGTACTAACAGCAATATGCTGCACAACTGGGAGTGCTGGGCAAGGTACATAGATGAGTGCAGTGACTTTACAATGGAACAATTACGTTTTTCTGAAAATGTGAAGTTTAAAATGATGATAAATAGGGAAATGTCGAAAACAAGCTTGCCACATATGGTGCGTGCAGTCATTTTTTTCTGTCTTTCATTCCTTTAGAAAGAAGAAGATATTGACAAAATTGGCATTGTGGAATACTACGGCATGGGCGGCTTTGCTGGTTTTCCTCTGCAATACTACCCTTATTATGGCAAGCTCCTTCAGCCCAAATACCTCCAGCCCCTTGTAGCAGTGCAGTTCATGAACATAACCCAGGACGTGGGGGGGGTGCGTATCGAATGCAAGGTCTATGGTGAGAACATCTACTACAGTGACAAAGACCGTTTCCAGGGACGTTTTGACGTGAAATTTGACATAAAAAGAAGCTGATCACAGGCATAGCTCTCTCTCTCTTTCCTCTTAGCCATGTAAAAGTTAAAAAAAAGACAAAACCTACTAGTCTTGAACAAAACTGTCATACATATGGGACCTACACGTAATCTATATGCTTTACACTAGCTTTCTGCATTTAACTAGGTTAGAATGTAAACTTAAAAGTGTAGCAATAGCAACAAAGATATTTATTCTACTGTAAATGACAAAAACAAAATTGAGCCTTGGGACATGCACATTTCTACTGTAAATTATGATTCCATAACTGACTTGTAGTAAGCAGTGTTTCTGCCCCCTAAGTATTGCTGCCTTGTGAATTTTATTTAGTGTACAGTCCTATAGGTGCATTACTCTGGTCATTTTTCAAGCCATGTATTATTGTACCTGTTTTCTACTTTCTGTGAGCAAAGATTTGCTGTCCAAGGTGTAAATACTCAGTGGGACTAAAACTGGCATGGTTCTTTTTAATTATTTTTTGTTCATTTTTAAAAAGGCAAATGGCCCACAGGTGAGATTATTCAACAGCACTCCAGTAGAGCTTCCCCCATTCCCTGGTGGTTTTAGGATTTTATTTAGTGTGGTGACAAGAGAAATTAATTTGAGTTTGAAGCAAACCTAAAGAGTAGGTGATTGTGTACTGTGCTCTGTAGTGAATGCCGTCTTTCTCTCTTTCCCCTCATCCCCCAGTATGTTGTGTGAGAGACCTCAGTCAGCCTGTCACATTAGTCAGTGATGGGAATAATTATTTTGCTTTGTATATTTTCTTCATTTCCTGCTACAGGCATCACACGCTGTGGTGCTGTCTTTATTGAATGTTTTAACCATTTTCATGGTGGAAGAATTTTATATTTATGCAGTTGTACAATTTTATTTTTTTTCTGCAAGAAGAAAGTGTAATGTATAAAGATAAACCAAAGCCACATGTTTGAAAATAAATCTTTATTTTGAACTTTATGAAAAAGCAATGCAGTTACCCCATCAACTAGTGTTTAAATGTTGTCTAAAGTGCAAAACTCTATGTTCTAACATATGTAATAGCCAGGAGTACAGTGCTCTTGTTGATCTTGTATTTCAGTCAGGTTAAAACATTGGACAATAAATGAATAAACACATCTTCCATCCTGTGGCTTGTGCTTTGTAATTTTGTATTCTCCAGTTAGTTGTCCAGGATATTGAAAAAGTACTGGACCTAAAAAAGATAAATCTTGTTACATTGCATCCTTTAGCTTATGTTTCACCTTAACAGAACTGTCATCTGAAAAAAATAATAATTCTAACATTGCTGATTTTCCCTGTACAGATTTTCATAGATCAAATGAGCTGCAGTCACTGGTGTCACCTTCAGAATACACGTATGCATACGTGATCTGGTTGGACTAGGCACCCAGACTGGTTTAAGGTTTTCTGGCTAGCTTTATGCATTTGTGGCTTTCCCACTGTCAAACTCACTTGGTAATTAGCTTGATTTCCCAAGCTTTCTAAAAGCAGCTCTGTGCTGGACATTTCTGCTGCTCCCCTTTCTTTGCAAGGGAAGCAGGGAGGGCTGGGTAGACAGTCCCTGCTCATAACGAGCTGACTCCCAAACAGCAATAATGGTACTGTTCATGGGTTCCAGCATTTGACTATGCTATTGTCTCCTCCCCCTTTCTAAACTCACTTGCTTATATGGTAGTTTGCCCAGGTGGGGAAGGACTGTAGAATTTATGCCACTGGCAAATGGCAGAACCAGCTGTTCATAGAGCCAGCAGGAAAGAACAGCTGGATTTATTTGGGAGCAGAGACTTTGAGAACAGGGGAGATGCCTTCAGGGGATCCAAACACTTGCTGACAAGCTTCTTGTTCCTTCCACAGGGACAACTGTACTTATCGGCTTGCTTAATTTCTTCTTTTGATAGAGCTAAAATTAATAGAAACAGCTGCAAATTCCTCCATTCTCTGTGAGGAAAAGGGCTAGAGATTTAGTGATTTCTTTAAAAAAATAAAAGCTGGGAATTTACAGAACCTGCTTAAACTATCACTACAACACTATATTGATATTTTAGCGTGCTTCCAAAAAAAAACCCACCCCAAAATGAGACAACTCATCTTTGCGGGATGTAGAGGGAGCGGCTTGATAATGATCACAGTCCAATCATCAAAAAGTGGACTGAAGATGGGTGATAGTGAACCAAAAAGAAGAAACACAACTGAAAAGGTGTGGGAACATAAAGAAATCAAACTGTGTGGAAAGATGCTAATAAAGATGCTTAATGAGTACTTATGGTCTCGGTGTGTAATTTATATAGCAAATATTAGTGCAAAAAATTCCAAAGATACAAAAATGCTATTATAACATTTAGAAAATATAGAAATAAATTCTAAATACATAAATAAGAATGCCAGAAGAACACTAGAGTCCAGATAAACATAACAAAGATTCCGGATATATATTTTGTTTTGACCATTTTCAAGTGTGGATTATGGTTTTCTTCAATAATAGATTCATTACAGGGGGGGGGACCCGCGATACTCGCGGGACAGGGGGAGCTCCACACGTATGAGGAAGAGGAGGAAGCAGGAGGAGGAGGTAAGTTCCCCCCCTATCCCGCCGGTTCCCCATCTCCTCCACCCTCCCTCCACCCCCCGGCTCGAC